AATTCAGAATTTCAAAGGTGGTTATCGAATCGAAACATAAGGTGGACATTCAACCTGCCAGCTGCTCCACATAATGGTGGTTGGTATATGGGAGACAGCTGTTAGATCCATGAAGCTGCATTTAAAGAAATGTGTTGGAATTCAAATTTTGACTTAAAAGAGTTCCTTCCTTACTCTAATTGCACAAATTGAGGCATGCTTAAATTCGAGTCCAATTACACCAGTCTCCAGCGATCCCAGTGATTTGACAGCTCTGATTCCTGGCCATTTTATTATAGAGACTCCTTTAACAGTTATTCCCCATCAGAACTTAACTGAAATACGAGTCTCTCTATTGCAGAGATGCCAACTAGCACAGAAGATATTCCAAGGGTTTTGAAAGTGGTTGTCAAGAGTCCCGATGATGCAGAGGCTAGAGCATTGCGCAGCAGCACCACATGTCTGGGGTTTTATTCCCGGGCTGGGCAGGGTCGACCCAACTTTTTATCCTTTGGATTGATAAAATGAGTACCAAGTTCGCTTGGGAATTAAACGCTGGGGAGGGGGGGGTGTCCTGCGACAAGCCAACCACTTGTTCAGGGCATATGCTTACGCACCCCGGGGCCCACGGTCAAGAAAACAGATTTCGGACACTGCAGGCCTTGGCCCATTAGGGCTGTTATGCCACTTAGTTTAGGTCTAAAGAGTACTTGTGCCAATTACAGCAGCGCAGCAAATAGAGACAGCCTAGCAGAAATATTCATCTAAATCATTTGGTTCTCATTAAAGAAGAAAATATACCTTCACTACATTGGAAACTTGGGCGAGTGATAGAAATGTTTCCTGGAAGAGACAATAACGTCCGAGGGGTAAGACTAAAAACTGTGCATGGGAACCTTAAACCTCATATTACTAAACAGTGTCTTTTGCCAATTAATGAAGAAGTACATTAAATTTTAAGTGCCAGATTTATATTCCATGTTTTTTATTATTTTTTATATTGTTCATTGTACTAATGTTTTTGTTTGTTTTAGTTTAACCCTTATAGTTAATTGTTCAATATAGCAAACTATGTGCTGTTTAGCTGTTTTGCTAGAAGACTGGTAAGTGTAATATGTAATTTTATAGTCTTTAAAGATTTTTGTATGTTTTCAATTTCTATATTTTTCATTTACTCGTTTACATATACTGAAGACTGCAATGAGATGAATGTAATTCATCAGGGGGTATGGTTGGGGCCTCTTCCGATTGTGGTGATTTTTACCAGAGGGCGCACTGCACAAGAAAAGTTAGTTGAGTTGTAGAATGTTAAGGAAGTGGACACGCCAAGATGTCGGGTATGTTATTGCTAACGATATAATGCACTGCATCTGCCAGGTGGCAGAAAAACAAGTAAGCTGTATCATGTATATGCCAGGTGGCATAAGCTTGTATATAACTGTAAATACACTGCTGGCCACCATAAATGCAACACCCCGAAGGAAGCATGTAAATAACATGAAATTTACAACTTGCATTAGCGGAGGTGAGATATTTCAAGTTCGGCAATTGTGTTTTTCTTGTGGCTTTTTTTTTTTAAAAAAAGATCAATTATGCCTTGTAGTAAATCGATCGTAGCGATCATTGTTCGATCAAATATCCGAGTTTGACAGAGGAAGGATACTGGCCTACCAAGAGTGTGGATTATCTTTCAGGGAAATCAGTAGTCATGTTAGATGAAACCAAACAACTGTAAATGTGGATATGCGAGTGTTAGATGTCGGAGGGTACGACGACCAAACGTTTTCAAATCGCATCCACCTCAGTGCCACCACTTCACGTGATGACAGGAACATTGTGCGCATGGCAGTGATGATCGCTCATTCACATCACGAACCATAGCATAGCACATTCAGGTCTGTAATGCATCATCCAGTGTCTGCGCGTACTATTCGACACTATTTACAGTAGAGTGGTCCTGTCCGCAAGACGTCCATTACTTCGTCTACCCTTAACGCAGAATCACAGACGTCTCCGCTGCCAATGGTGCCATGAAAGAAGGATGTGGACGGCAGAAGGAATGAAATTGTTTTTACTGACGAGTCACGCTTCTGTCTGGAACACCACAATGGCCGGATTCGACGAGTCTGAAGACACCTGCGGAGAGAGAATGCTGAACAGCTGCGTTATGCACCTGCCACATTGATCCTGCACCGGGTATTATGGATATGGGATCGGTATTGGTTATCACTCTCGCATTCCTCTAAGTAGGCATTGCCGGATACTTTAAACAGCCAGAACTACATCTCCAAGGTGTTGGAGCCAGTTGTCCTTTCCTTACATTACAGGGTTTGCCCACAGCCATATTTCAACAGGATAATGCGTGCGACGTGTGAGTCGCGACCACACGTCGCACGCATTGTTCAAGGGTTCTTCATCAATCGGCAGATTGAATTCCTTCCCCTGGCCTGGCTCGCTCTGCGGATCTTTCGCCAATAGAAAACATGCAGTCCATGGTTGCTGAACGATTAACTCAGATTACATCCCAAAGCTGCCACACCAGATCAACTATGGCAACCGTGTGGAAGCTGCTTGGTCTGCTCCCCAAGAACACATACAAAGTCTCTCTTTGAATCAATGCCAAGGCGGCAGCGGTGATCTCCAACAATGGGCGGCTACTCTGGCTACTGATTCTGGAAGAAACCAATCTTCACAGAAGTCTATAAATTTAATCATTTGATACTTGGTCAACATGTTATCCACTAAATAAATTTTGATGTCATATCTCTTGTCTTTCTTGGTGTTGCAATTTGGGTGGTTGCAGTGTAAATATACAGTAAAATATCAGTGAAATTAATCAAGGAACCTGCAAATATATACATTAGTTGGACACTACATTTGGAATAAGTAAAATTTGTATCTACTCCTGCAATCAGCTTAAGACTGAGAAAGTATACCAAACCTAGTTAAAAACAAGTTATGGAAAAATAAGAAGCAAACATATGTGACAAAAGATGAATATTTTAATTTTTAAGCAACAGTAACAGATAATTAAAGAGGAAAATTAAAAAAAAAAAAAAAAAACAAGAAACACGTGTATTTTTAGCGATACACCCTACTTTACGACTGGTAGAGGCAATTCCATATTAATACTGCTTACTATGAGGTTGTGTGATAGCTCTTTTTATAATTTTAACACTTAAAGGGAATAAAAAAATTAAAACATTTCTAAAAAGTATACTTGGCTCTACTATTAGTTTTTACATTTAAATAAAGCAGACACGTTTACGAAATATTGCTGTAATTTAGAAACATACTTGATAAAGTTGAACGTATGTCCCTCTCCTTATGAGACGTGTAATTTCATTGTCCACTGCTACTTTTGACACCCTGATGTTTCCTTGGAAATCCCAATTTGTGTCTAATAAAAGTCTTTAATCTGGACTCATCGGGACTTCGGCGATTTCGGATTATCAATTTTTCCAAATTATAGATCATCAGTTTAAATTTGGTAAGATGGCATGCAGAAATTATAAAATTATAAATATGAAACCGTAATTAATGAAATACAGAGCAATTATGATCTAAAGGGTATCAAAATTTACAAAAAAAAAAAAAGCTTAATATTTATTTGTTTACTTTATTAAACATTTCTATCAACGCGCGCATGCGTAAACCACACATTACGCATAATCGAAATTAGAAAATTGCAACCAGAAAACTATTTGATGTGTATTCGTGATATTTATGACGAGGAATTTGATTTAAATCATATCAAAGATGGAGTACATCGAGATGAAATACTACATTTAGTAAGGAATTATAAGTCGCATAAAATAAAAACATCTGCACTGAAGATAAGGATAGTGCTGACATATCAACTTCCAGTTCATTGCACGCCAATTGCTCTAACAGTCTGCAAAAAATAATAAGCCGGATCCAATTAGAAGATTAAGGAACAACGCAATCTGCAACATTAACTGAAACAGATGATTAGATAAATTTAGCTTAGCTTATACCGTCCGTTATACATTAAACGTGCATGCGTAAAGGTATCGTGCACATGCTTAAATGCATAATGCATTTAGGCATGCGCAGAAAGTTTGTAGCTTTGAAGTCCGGATTATAGATCATTCCGGATTATGGACGTCCGGATTAAAGACTTTTGACTGTATTTTGAAAAATTTTCCACAGTGTTAAGGCAGTTAGTTGTCTTATTGGCAAACTAGGTTAAATATGTCTATTATTTATATCTATATATTAGACATATATATGAATAAGCATACATACAGGCTGAGTCTGAACAAGTGAACAAAACTTTAGGGATGATAGAAGGCAGCTAAACAAGCAATATTCATCATAAAATGTACGGTCTGAAAGCAAATGGCGAGCCACTAGGTGTAATTGTAAATGGTATAAAAGAGTTGGTCCTTGCACCTAACGGCATTTTCTACCTTGGATTACAAACAGGATGGCTAGTTATATGAATTTCCAGGTGATGGATTGGTGGAGGTAGTCATTATAGCTTGGCTACCAAGATCTGTCATGTTTGGACTTTTTCCTGTGGGACCACATGAAAAGCCTAATCTACGAATGTCCCACTGAAACTGATATGGATCTAGTTGCTAGGATCGGTGTTTTTGCCGCTGATATTTGGGAAATGACCTGGTGTCTTTGCAAATGTTTGTCATTCCCTTTTCTGCAGGTGTGAAGCTTGCATTACAGCTGGCGGAAGCATGTACATCTATTACATTCATGTTGATAAAATGTTTTCTGAAGTATCTCTTCTTAGTCTTGTGTCTAGTCTTTAAATGCAACAATGGAAAATTACCCTTTGACTTCTCATCACTTGCTTTCTGACTATACATTTCTATGACAAACATTGTTCATATAGAAGCCTTCTATCACCCCCTAAAATTTTGCTCACTTTTTCAGATTCACCCTGTATATTAATGCAAATAATATATTGTAATCAACTAGCTTTGTCTTTGCTTAACAATTCACAAAATTTGTTACATATCAGAATAATCTGAAGATCCTACCTTTTGGCACAATATCCAACATAGTTATGATGCGCTTCAAACTGCTTATGTCACTTTTAATGCCTTCAGCAACTCCAGGATACTACAATAAGGAACACTTTTAAACATTTTTTTATGGATTCAGAAGACTGCATGAACAATATCAAATCTAAAAGCTTACTGCAGGATTATTCTACAGTACATTTTTTGGATATTGTAGAATACACTCTTAATTTATAGTATGCTTTTGTTATTAAGTTAAGAGATATGCTTTAAAATCGATGCACCAAGAAGGAATCATCCGATTCCTTTGAAATTTCGTAGGCATACATGTTTTGCCCAAATATGCAAATGATTAAAATTTGGTGTCCATTGAATGAATAATGTGATCTCCAGCTCACAGAAACTGTGCATCCAGCAGCTGGATATAAGGAGCTGTTCTTGAACTATTATTAAAAATTTCTGTTGCAACTGTGATTTAGGATACCTCTCAATGACTGAAAAAAATGCCTCACCGCAGTATTCCAGCTTATTACGAGCAACTGTCAGAGTTTGAAAGAGGTCATATCATTGGATTGAAAGAGGTAGGTTGAGCAAATCGGAGAATCACTCGTCATATGAGTTGAAGCGATGTGGCGATTAGAAGACGCTGGCAAGAATGGGTAGACAATGGCAGATTTCAACGTCATGATGGAAGCAGTCGACCTAGAGCCACAACAGATCGTCAAGATGAAGTGATTGTCAGATCAGCTGTTACAGCTCCTGACTCATCGCTATCAACCATCAGACATGGACCCGCACATGAGTGTTCACCATGACCCTTCACAGACAGCTGATAGAGCAAAATCTACGGTCGTACCAACCGTTATGCTACCTGCCACTCATGCCTGAACACTGTCGAGCCAAATTACACTGATGCTTAGCTCGATCATGCTGGAATGATGCTGACTGGGGACATATAGTCTTTAGCGATGAATCTCATATCCAACTGATTCAACTGTCATGCCGACCATCGAAGACGTGCCTGGAGATGCCCAGAGCAGCGTTCTGTAATTATTACACACCACACAGGCCCTCAATCAGGAGTTATGGTCTGGGGTCCACTTCCTTTGATAGCTGGGCCCCTTTGATCGTCATTAGAGACACATTTATAGCCCAGCGGTACATCAATGACATTCTGAGACCTATTTTACTACCGTTTTTTTTTTTGCAGTACCCTGGCCTTATTTTACAGCAAGATATTGCCAGACCACATATGCCAAGTGTTGCTATGAATTGTCTTACAACTTGTCAAACACTTCCTTGACCAGCCAGAACGGCAGATCTCTCTCCCATCGAGCATGTATGGGATATGATGGGAAGACATTTGCACCTACCAGGTAATATTGATGACCTAGCCCGAACAATTAGAGCAAATTTGGAAAGAAATACTGCAGGAGACCATCCAGGAGTTTTATCAGTCTATGCCATGACGCTAGCACCTTATTCAGCTCGTTACTTTGTAACTCTGTAACTCTGAAATAAATCATTCAATTTCTTTAAAATTTTAATAATTTTCTATTCTGTACATAACCTCCCTGTCAACCAATTTTTGTCTCCATTGGACGACTCCTTCTTGTTACATCGATTTTTGTTTATGTAGAGTGTACATATATATTAAGTTTTCTATAGTATGCTTTTGGATATTGTAGAATATATTCTTAGTTTACAAAAAATACAGAGGCAAAAAGTTAATGTTATATGCTGTAATTTTCTCTAAAAGTCAGAACTTTCTGGACAATCCAATAAACTGTTATTACCCTTGCTTGATGTGAAAATTAAAAGAGGAGAGGAAAATCTACAAACAAACAAAAAGATAAAATTTTCATACTATGATGAAATCATACTCCTATTTTACAGAAAGATTTTTTTCATCCTTATAGCTTATATTTTGTTATGCTTTAATTGCTTTCAACAAGTGTTTGAAATGTAAAATTTACAAAATTTGATGTGATTTAAATGTTGAATGATGTCCCAAGAAATATTCACAAGACAAGTAAAAAGAGGAGAAAAGTCAGAATTAGAAAAGCTGGAAGCCTTTTCTCCTACAGTTTGCTTTTATTTATTCTAATGTATTACTCAAGAGTTTATTGTTTAATTTCAGAAAACCTTCCTGTCAAGGATGCTCTGAGTTATTTAAAAAATGTTTACTTCTTTCATTTTGAATTGCAATATTTCATAATAATATAACAGAAAAACTTACTTTTAAATGAATTTAAAGCTATGGATAATTTAATCCAAAAGCATACATACACTCACTTTCAAAAGTTTAGTATGAAGATGTAAAATGCAAAAATATCAACAAATACTGCTTTGATTGACACAAAATTCGGCAGGAAAGTAGTATATATATTTATACACAAAACAAAATCAATAATTATATACGGAAATGAAAACAATATTAAATTTTTGTAAATTATCAGATAATGACATACTGGAGACTTAAAAGAATTAAGCATAAAATGAAAATAAACAGCATGATATGAAAAAACAGGACATTAATAGGGTATGTGATCCCCTCACATCTGTATACAAATTTTACATCTTGTGGCCATGCTTTCAATTAGGTGGTCAAACACTGCAGAATTAAGTAATCGCCATTCTTCTTGCAGAGTAGTTTCCAACTAAATAATAGTGGCTGGAGGTGAGAAACGTGAAGATACAGCACGACCAAGAGCATTCCAAAGATTTTCATTGGGATTAAGGTCGGGCGAATATGCTGGCCACGTCATACGCGCAATCCCTTCACTCTCCAGGTAGTCATCGATGATGTCAGCTTTATGAGGACGTGCATTATTGTCCATTAAAACAAAAGTAGGGCCAACTGCTGCAGCGTACAATCTCACAATGGGTTTTAGGACTTCATCTCGATACCGGACAGCTGTCAAAGAACCCCAGTGTGCATTGTGCAGGTCGATGCAGTATCCTAATGAAATCCCTGCCCACACAATGATGCTTCTGCCTCGGAATGCTTGATGTTCGGTGATGTTTTGGGACTGATTGCGTGTTCGTTGTTCACACCATATTCTTATACGCTTGTTATCTGGCTCCAGATCAAATCATGACTCATCAGTAAACATGAAATTGCCCCAGTCAGACACATTCCAATTGTCATATTTCTGGCACCACTGTAACCGTGCCCCTCTTGATTGGACGGATAGAGGAACACAAACTTGAGGTACCCAGGCGTACAGTAGCTGCAGATATCGCCTTACCAATGGGCGCTGTAACCATAGATGTCAGACGTATGGAGGTCACTCTGCGATTCCGCTTGGCTACAATAGCAATATATCAATCTGCCGAGGGGGCTGTAACCTTTGGGCGACCGGCTACGGGTCTTCAGACAACTGTCTGCATGGTTTGGAATTGTTTCCATAAACATGAAATTACAGAATGATGAACGCTGAAGAAAAGAGCAACATCTGTGATTGACTGTCCTGCTTCAATGTGCACCACAGCATGCCAGCGCTCAGAATCTTCCATTCGTCTTTTGGAAGTCATAGAAACACATATGTCTTGAAAACAAATTGTACGAAAGTTTTAAACACCTTCCATCAGCACTCACAATCAACTTCTGTAAACCTTCATAAAGCTGGCTTCTTATAAGACTGCCTTTTTTGCATATTTCTTGGCATGAAAGTGCGATTGGCTGTTACCTAACATATTTGCGTACTTTCATCTAGCTCTGCAGCGAATTGCAACCTCTTCAATTCTGATTGGCTTCCGGAAATTAGCATTTTCCTCTCCGTGCTTAACTTTTGGAAGTGAGTGAATTAAAGTAAACTTATGCACATACATATTTTATAGATGAATGAATCATGTCAAAGTATTATGCAAATTAATTATATTGAAGTATTCATTAAAGTTAACAGAAATATTATTAAAATTCATAATTATTTACAATTAATTAAGAATAACTTTTAAATGGTAATATTTATATATACAACTGAGCCTGTGCCACAGTTTAAATTAATAACAGAGCAAAACATTTATTATTACATGATGAGTGCAAAAGTTCAACATTTTTAATTAAAAAAGGCAGGCAAATTAAATAGAAAATGAATATCTATGATTTCACATAACTACCATTGTTATATATGACTTATAAACATCTCAGTAGGATGTTAATCCTATATATAAAAATTACTTTATTTTAGGATGGATCAAAAAGGTTTTGCCATGTTATTTTCATATCTTCCATGTCGGTGAAGAAGACTGGAAAAATGATAACCCGTATGTGTAAGGTTGAGTCTGACAACAGTTCTCTCTCAATATCCACTAATTTTAACTACAGTGTAAGGCTTGGCATTATCATCATGGAAGTTAAAGGAATAATATATTTTGCAAATTTCATTTCTAGTGCGAAGAATTAAAGACACTGCTCCCTTGTTGTCTTTTAGTATAGTGTCTGGCATATCATTTTGGTAATCACTCTAAAAACACAAAATGTAAGAGAAGACCTGGATCTGATTTCTAACAAAGAAATTCTGCTCCAAAAATTCCTAATGTCTGTATACAGTGGCACTTGATAGAAAGTAGCAAACGGTAGTTTATCAAAAAGTACAGCTAACTTGGAATGGTTTACTGGGATTGCTTCCCCCAAAATGCCCTTTAAATGTGAGTGGAATGAAATGAACTAAAAATGTTCTACCGTATATTCTTATGGTGCAGTAACTGACATATTAATCTGGTTTACTAAAGATCCAAATTTGGTTCCTAGTAAGAGCATAACGATTTTTAAAGATTCTTATTATTACAACTCCTAATATAATTAATTTGAATAGTTTCCCATATTAAATTAATGCATCAGTTTTGTACAACATATCTTTTATAAAAATATTTAATACTTCTTTTTAGGAACAGAAAAAAAATATATAAGTGTCCCATCAATGTTTCAAAATTGTAATGCCATATGTCTGAATCTTCTAAAGTTAAATACCTGAATTTTTAAAGCAACATCTGTACCATCTAGTAGCTTAGCACAGTGCACCTGGCCTATTGATGCAGCTGCAAATGGTTTTGGATCAAATTCCGAAAACTTTTCTCTCCAATCTGGCCCAAATTCTTGTAGCAAAACTTTCTGAAATAGAATCAGTTTTAATTTGTAGTGCTATCAAATTAAGAAATACACTGCTATTTCCACTAGGAAAAGATAATAACTAAAAAAATGTAGGTTAACAGAAATATTACAAAGAATAAAAGTAATGCTTTTTTACACTGCAGGGAATATAACAATTCAATACACAAGAATATTTACAATTTCAAATACATATCACAATTGTATATTTAAGTAAATACTACATGACATTAAAAAAATTACATTAAGTTTACAAAATTGTCTGGCAATTACACCTAAGTAGAAAATCATGTGGAACAGTTTTATTTAGATTTAACTGGTATTTATACCAAACTAAACCTTCATTTTAAATTTATTTCATATTTAATGCTTTTATTTTTCCAACAGCAAACATATTTATATTACTTTCTACAACAAGATATTAATTTTTTTTTTTTTTGTAAAAAATATGCTTAGGCTCTTAGAACTTTGTTAATAATTTTTCATTATTTGAAAGCAATTTGATTCAAAATTATATCCAACAATGCATAATAAACATTTAAAGTTGTGCTCAAGTATCCAATGAATCCATGATTTAAATTATTTGCAATTTTTACAAAACCAAAACCTTCTTTGAAAAACTGAATAACAAATGGTTTATAAACTGCCAATGACAGCATAGGAAAATGGGCATTCCAAATACAGTCAAAAGTCGTTAATTCGGACACCCATAATCCGGACCTCAAAGCTAAAAACTTTCTGCGCATGCGCCGCGTTGGCACATGCGCACAGGCGTTTTACGCGTAAGCGTAAGACCTTGACTACTGCGCATATGCGTGTGCGCAAGTGCAGAATACGTTTTTGCCTGCGCGTTTAATGTATAACGGACGGTCTAAGCTAAAATTATCTAATTATCTATTTCAGTTAATGTTAATGATTGCGTTGTTCCTTAATCTTCGAATTGGATCCCGCTTATTATTTTTTGCAGACTGTAAGAGCAATTTTATAAAAGTAAACTTGAACTTTCGATTATGTCAAATAGAATTTTTCCGATGCTGGAACTTCCAAAGGATCTACAAAACGAATAGTATGTTTCGATGTCCAACAACAAAAAGTGGAATTGCTGCAAAAAATGGATAAAGACATGAAGAATGTGACAGAGAGGTTACTGAAAACGAAAAATTTCGATTGACAAGTTAGTCTGTATTCTCGGGGCACAGCAATTAACGGGACTTGAACAGCGTGACTTTGTAAACTGAAGCAAGAAATTATGTCTGTTTAAGAATTAAAGGGAAAGTATTATCACATAAAATGAAGCAACTTAAACAACTTACATTGAAAGAAATGTTTAATAAAGTAAACAAATAAATATTAAGCTTTTTCTTTTTGCAAATTTTGATACCCTTTAGATCATAATTGTTCTTTATTTCATAAATTACGGTTTCATATTTTTAATTTTAGAATTTCTGCATGCCATCTTACGAGATTTAAACTGATGATCTATAATCCGGAAAAATCGATAATCCGGAATCGCCGAAGTCCCGACGAGTCCAGATTAACGACTTTTGACCGTATATCCAATATTATCTCTCCATAGCAGTTTTGGTTTGCCACCACAAGTATGCATGCTTAATTTGAACTAATTATTTCATCCTCAAATAGTTTGCTAAATTGCCTTTTGTTTTTGGCCTTTCACCTTCAAAAGTTGGATCATTTTACCAGTTTTTATTAACTTGAAATGTTTCTGGCAAATTTGAGTATTTTTTTTTTTTTTTTCCAATTCAAAAAATGTTTTCTTTCAGTTTTAAATCAGTGGTTTCAAATGACAGAACACTTGCGTCAAGCCTTAATGCATTTCAGTTAAGTGTTTCTATCAAAACCTGTTACTAAAGAGAAAATTCAGTTTTCTGGATTAAAGTTACATAAATAAAATTATAATAGTGATTTTAATTAAGAGATTAAATTAGTTAAACTATGTTTTAATGAAAGGTAAATGAAAAATGGATGAAGAAAGACACGTTTTCCAAGATAAGGGGGAATTTATGCACTTTTGTAGTTTGTGTACAATAGAATTGCATGTTTGTCCTGCAATAAGGAAATTATAAGTTCCAAAAGAATACAGTCTATGCCACCATTAAAAAAAAAAAAAAATGAAAAGCACAGAGAGAAGAAAAGCTACAGTTTCTAAAATGTAACTTAAAACAATTTTTTTTTTTTTGTTTTTTGTTTTTTTTTTGTTTCTGGGTTTTTTTTTTTTTTTTTTTTTTTTTTTTTTTAAACTGAAGGAAATCAATTCAATGAAAGAACAGTTTATGCAAGTTTTACTTCAAAAGACATCACTATAGAATAATCAACATCATTTATTGATGGAAAATTCCAGAAATATTTTTGATTAATCATGATTGATTTTCTGATTTTTTATTCCTTAATTTTTCATATAAGTCTGCTGAACTTCTTTGTCCTGACAAACAACAATCATTTAAAAGTACGTATTAGTTTGCCAGCAAACATGGTAGAACAATGCATTTATAAATTTTCTAGTGATGTACCATGTCTATCAAAAGAAAAAAAGTAAAGATTTTGCAACATCAACAGCAGTTGATGAGAGTGACAATTATAATATAAATTGCCAGTTTTGTACAAGCATTACTGATGAATCTGAAGTATTTGAAGAATTAAAGGAAATAATTCATATGAAAGCAAAAAATTGGTACACAGGATATTCTTTCCAAATTAAAAACTTTAATAAGTAAATATAAATTAAGGTGGGATAAAATAGTTGTATTTGCAGTGATGGTGCAGCTGCTATATTCGGTAAAAATGTAAGAGTAGCTGTAATGTTATGAAATACAGTGAAAGAAGAAAAATTTCTGAATAAGTTTTGCACCATACATTGCATTATTTATCAAGAAGCATTTTGAGGCTGAAGTTTTCAGGTGTACACAAACAATAAACTTCATCACAAAAAAAGGAAAAAAAAAGTGAACCATCAAGAATTTGCTGTAATTCTTGACTAAACTGAAAGTGGGTATGGAAAAACAAAATTATTGCGAATAAGATGATGAGATAATTAAGCTGTACTAAAATGGTTTTTAATTTAATAAATGAAATTCATGTTTAAGCATCAAAGTTCTCATGACACAAAAAATAAAACTATCAAAGAGCTACAAAATGATACATGAATACCATATTTAGCATTTTTTGTTGACAAAACTGGTAGTTAAAATGTTCTCTAATAGAAAACTGTAAGGAAAAAAGAAATTGATCACCAACATGTATGCTTGTATTAAAGTTAAACTGTAACTATAGCCACATAACTTTTTATCAACAAATTTTATACATTTCCTATATCTTAAACTCTGCCCTATTATTTCAAATAAAAAAGTCAAAAATATGCAAGAAGAATAGCATTCTTATCAGAAGAATTTTAAGAAAAATTTAAAGATTTAATGATTTGAAGACTGATTTTACATTATTTCCATTACTATTAAAATGAAAGAACTTGAATAACACATTAAGAAATCTACAAATGGAGTTACTAATTCATATTATGATATAAAACTTGAAGATTCAAAGATTTGATGATACGGATTTAATTAAATTTTATGCAAAAGTTAAATACTTTCAAGTAAGGAATTTTTATAAAAAGTGATTGCTTTGTTGCTTAATTTAAAAGTTTTTTTTTTTCAGTTAAAAATAACAAGAACCTGATTAACCAATAGACATTTATAGTCTGCACAGAAGATAATTTCTGGTAATTTTTCTCCAAGGCTACAAACATAATCAGAAAGACTCTAAAATGTCAAGTTGCAATAAGAAATAAAGAAGTTTATTTATGTATAAACATAAATAAACTTCTTTATTTCTTTCTTTATTTTTTAACACAAAAATACATATGTACAAACATATGTATTTTTGTGTTAAAAAATTAATAAATAAAAAAAGGTATTATTTCTTTAGTCTTGTCCCACTTAAATAATGTTCTCATAATTTGTTTAAGTTCAAAACAAATTATTTAGAGGTCAATTCAATGTATTAGAATTATTTTAAATTAATGAAAGTCGGAATATGTCAGTTCATTTGAATTACCAAGCATAAAAACAGAAATTTCTTGCAGATACCAACTCATACATTTCAAAAGAACAAAAATATTTTTCTTTGTGTTATTATTACTACTATTGATTACGTACATTTAAATAAATATTTAGCAAATGAAGTTTTACTTAAAAAGTTTCAATATTTTACTAAGAGAATTTAGCTTGTCAGCATTTTTCAAATCATGCATTTGGCTCACCCACAATTTGAATTTGAGACCACAGTTTTAAATAATTTAAAACCCTTATTTTTATTTTGAAGAAATTCTGTCACATACATTAAACTCAATATTTTACTTTTTCAAATGATTAAGGAAACAGAATACTTTTCTGTTAAAGCGGGAACAGTTGTCAAATGCCTATTTATATCCTGTCATGAATAGCTGTGCTATAATAACACAAGGTGTGCCTATAACAACTTCTTACAGATAAGAAAAAGATTACTAACCTTTAAATAAATTTATCTCCTCCAAAATAATCATCAGAGGAATCTATACAATATTTCCAATGTTTCTTCAGGTCATCGAAATACTGTTTATAGGGGTTGGAACTAATCGTTCACAAAATATGTATAACTTTTGATTTAATATCTTGAGATGTTTTTGTATCTCTGTCGGAGAAGAAAAAAATTAGCTGGTGAGAAGTCAGAAAAATATGGTGGGGGATTATCAATACAATTCAATGCTTAGCAAGATATTTTTGTACAAACAAAGCTGTATAGAGCCCAGTTTTATTATGGAAAAGAAATCATTGCTCAGAATCAAGAAGTTCCTTCTTATCTCACCCTTACACTGTTCGTTAATCAACAAAGCACCTCCTTGAAAAATACTGATTGATTGACTCATTTTTAGGACACATTCATGGTAAATAAATCCTTTGTAATAAAAAAAAAACAGAATGATCATCCCCTTAGTCCTTGATTTCAACATCTGTGTGTGTGTGTGTGTTGTTTTTTTTTTTTTTTTTTTTTTTTTTGTATGGGATGAGACTGTCCTGTAGCAGGAGATAGTGCATTCTGTCTTTTTGTTTCTGTGTCATACTGTAGATACCATGTCTTATCTCCCGGTATGATACACTTTAAGATACTGTTGTCCTGTCTCGAAAGTATTTAGCAAATTTCACAGGAAGCTTTTCTGTCTTTTTAATTATTCTGTCCAAATCCAAGATATATATCGATCACAAACTTTCCTTATTTTCAGATTTTCAATTAAAATTAACCTACAGCTTTCTTTGCTTATCCCATGCATGTCTGAAAGTTGTTAAGTTGTTAAATGTATATCAGCTTTTACAAAAAAATTAATTTTCTCTATATTTCCCTCATTCTTTGAAGTTGATAGGCACATTATATTTGGTTATCTTCAATACTTTTGTGCCCACATTTAAAGTGTTTGTACCACTCATACACTTGTGTTCTTGATAACGATCCCCATATATTTTTCTTATCTCTGACATTTTGATAACAGACATAACCTAATTTGTATTAAAATTTAATGTTATAATGTTGTTTCATCTCAAAATATTTTTTTTTGCACAATGTCTTCCCAGTAAATGAATGGTGTTTTGATATGCAAACGACAAAACAACCAGATTAAACTAGCTTTAACAAGAGTTAAGATAGAACAAGAACTCTTTCTAAGCACACATTATTTTTTCACTTTATTTTATTTTTTGGTCTTTTAATTTGTCTGATTATTTTATGGGCTCATGTTGTATATATAATGTTTAATGAGCACAGTTCTAATGCTGTACGCACTGCTGAATTGGCACAATTCTTTAATTTTTTTTAAAGTGAAAACATATCACTGTCTGCACAAGGAGGATGAAAATATTCTCCTCATGTACACAACTATTTGTTTTCCATTGAAAACATTACAGAACTGCATAAATTTGCCATCATGCACTGTTTTGACACTGCACACATTAAACATTATATTTATAAATTATATGTAAAACAATTATTATTTTCATAGACCTTTATGCATTATTAAGGTTGCAGGCATCTAGTAATTACATTTTATGCCAATTTTTAAGTCTGGTGCTAAGTGTGCTAAAAGAACATTACAAAATTGAACATATTTGGCCCTGTGTACATTAAACATATTATATTTACAAATTATATTCATTAGATATAAAATAGTTGTTTCTTTCATGAAGCTTTATTATACATCGTTATGGTTGCTGACAGTTAGTTAGATTTTGCATTCCATGTTTAAGTTTGGTGCTAAGTGGCATTCCATTTCACAAAAGAGGGCTATAATAATTTTTAATTTATTTACTTCATTAGTATTGACGGATGTTAATATCTTTCAGATGTTAAAATTAATACCATTTATAATTAACATTACTAAATACCTATTTAAGCATTTTAAACCTGTTTTTTACATTTATTTATTAATGACTATTTAAAATAGGGATTGAAAACAACTACACTGAAATTAATAGTATAATGGAATGATTACTCCTTATTAATGTTTCTTACTTCCATTTGCCAGGATGGCATAAAATCTGCAGACTGGCGAACTCTTTCAAAAACAGCGGCTAGCTGAGGATTCATCATAGCATTATCTAATAAAAGGAGAAAATTATCAAGGTAATAACTGAAGGAGCAAAACAAAAAATTCCACTTTATATCATAGTTCTACACTTTTAAAAGACCAAAGACTGAATTTCACAATATTTTACTATAAGCACAATATCCTTTTCCCTAAATATACTTCTCATCTAATAATGCTTAATCGCAGCATTAAGTGATTAATTATGACTGTACACTCCTGGACACCTCTCAGAAAATGAACTCTCCCATAAATCATAAGATAGCATTATGTCAAGTGTGTGCTCATAAGCTTTATGAAAATCTACGTTTATTAAATTTTTATCACTTATATAAGATAATAAAAGACTGTTTTAATCTTTAAAGCATCCATTTTTATGTTCATGTGAGGATATATATAGAACCTACATTGTTTTATCAATGGATGCTCTGGCATTAACATGCAAAAAAATTATTTAGATAAGTCAACTGATGAAAAACTTGAACTATAAAACACTTACATAATAAAAATAACATTTTATAAAGGATTCTCAATCTTTGTATGCAAGGCACTGAAGATTGGTCAAAAGAACTCAAGCTCACTTTAAATCCTGACAAAACTAATTATTGTATTTTCTCAACTGACAGGAAAAACAGAAAGTCCTTTCAACCTACTATAAATCTATGTGGCTCTGTAATCAAACGAACCACATATCCCAAGTACCTTGGCATCTTAATTATGAGCTGAGATTTTCAAAGCACCACGAACAAATCTCTAACAAAGCCTTACAAAGGCTTAATATCCTTAGAGAATATGTGGTGCATCTTGGGGATCATGACCAACAACTCTTCTTAATACTTATACTTTGCTTGTTAGGCCCATTCTAGAATATGCTACCGCCATATGGACAACAGCCTCATCTTCTGCAAAGGGTAAGATCGACACTGTCCAGTACAGAGCATCCAAGATCATTATTGGTGCTATCTCATCTACAAATAACAACAAAGCAGAAACTGAATGCAGTCTAACCACCTTAGAAAACAAAAGAAAATTGGCCATCATCAAGTTCACAAATAAAATTAGAAGCCTTACAGATCTTCATATCTCCAGCAAAACCTTCAAGGCGTGGTGGAAGGTAAAAAAATTAATTAAAATTGTCCTCCACCCAACAATTCGATAGTGAAATCAGGAGAGAAATTAACTTACAGCATGAAGATACTGATATCATTAAAGAAGCTCTTCTCTCTATCAGTCTTTCCCCACAAGTAATTGTAAATTTAAACCTCTTGTAACAAAAAAGAGCCAGCTGCAATAATCAAATAATCAAGGAGAAAAGCATCCACACCATCAACAAACTTTCAAAATCTAGCTATTGCATATACAGGCAGTTCCTCCGACTCAGACTTTGACAGGGGTGGCATTGGCATCTATTTCATTCATGCTAATGGTGAATCTGAATCCCGTAAAATACCTGTTGGTAAAATTGTCTCAAATTATACCTGCGCGCTTGTGGCCATTAAAAAGGCTTTATATATCTATTTTTCCAAGGCAATCCAAAACTGCAGTGGCCTCTTATTATTCTCTGATTCTAAATCTGCACTCCAAGCCATTCTAAGGGATAATTCTCAACTTATCCGGGACATTATAATGCTCATGAACAAAACTACTGCATCTCAAAGGACTTGTACACTACAGTAGATACCAACGTATGTTGATATTTACGGAAATGAGTAAGCTGATGGCCTTGCCAAAGAGACCCGAATAAGTTCTTAACTTTCCAATAGCTTAACCCTTACTGATGCTGACTCAATAGCCAGCCAAAGACTTATTTCCCAAACAATCAAGAAGAACTCCATTCCTGCCCTAAATTGTAACTGTGTCATTTCCTCTACCATAGCCAGACAGAGGAGAAAACATTCTAAAGGAATAAAGATATCTGCTGATGGCCAACGAAATGACAATAGCTGTCCTCACTGTACTGATATCCAACTTTCTCCAGACCATCTCTTTGACTGTCCTGCTATTTTGGCCAAGCTCCTCAATACAGATGTAGCTCCCTCGCACCAACTCCTATATTCTTCGAAGATTATTGATGTTGCTGTGGATGTTCGGGATACTTTTGGTCCTTTTTGACTCCTCTGCACAGACTCTTCAGACAAGACAACAAGAAATAACATTTTATGAAAAATCTTTTTCATAAGCTACTTCAAATGTTTCGATAAAAAATACTGTTACTTATATGATTTTCAAAACTAAAGAATAATGCAAGATAGTAAAATAATAGCAAATTGTGTATACTTTTAAACTGCTGCAAAAGTTTTTACTGAAGATTTAAAGACTCATTCAAAGTAACATATTGCACATGAATTTTAAACTGCATCAATGAGTAATTAATAATGAACTCTGCACCTTTCACAGAAAATGGACACTTTTCATAAAACACAAGATTTCAAAAACTATGAGATTGCATCCAGTTGATGTTTCATTCGTGAAAGAAAATTCTATTACAATAGTTTTATTTAATTAATAATGCTCATTTTCTTGTCATAATAAATCAACTATTACTAAAACAATTATGCACATTAAATCATACCATCTATTAGAAGATAGTATGGATGCTTGTTAAAACTTTTTTTTTGTTTGTTCTATTTTACCTAACTAATCCTTCCCACAAATAAAGAATGTACTTCATATTAATCCATTCTATCAAAGTATGAAAATCTAGCACATAAACTGCATACAAACATAGAGAAATGGAAAACAAAGGAAACGTAAGATAAATACACTACCCAACATTGAAAATGCAACATTAGAAGGAGTGGCCAGAAAGTGCTGAAACTCGACAAACAGACAAAGACAGCAATGGATAATAAATGACAGGTTGTAAGACCACACTGGATGGAGATACACAATAATATCTAGACAAGTAATATGTCTAGATACAGTCAATGACACTACATATTATCACTTAATTTGTAGCTTCGCTTGAGCAAGATGAACATTATTATAGGTTTCAACAGGATGCAGCAACGAGCCATACATCAAATAAATCAGGCATTTCTTCAGGGATTGTCTGATATCAAAAACCTCGCTCTCCAGACTTGTTGTAGGGCTATCTTAAGAACATAATGTAAACAAAAAATTCAAAGACAATCCAGGACCTGCAGGAGAATATAACCAAAGCAATTAGCGAAACCTTGGTCTCAACACTGCACAAAGTGACCTCTAATATGTGTCACTGTATAAGTTTGTGCCTCGAACTTAATGGTAAACACTTCCAAGATCTAATTGTTAAATTTTGTGTTTTGTTTCATGTAAGAACAATTGTAGTCACATGTAAATATTTTCATGTTATAATAATAGAAACGAGAAGGTTTCATAACTATTTATAATACTTTTACATGGAATTTTGGGATTTTAGAAATGCATTATACTAAAATTCCTTTAAAAGATACACTGTAGTATTTTAATTAATAAATCTAATGAACATACTAATCTGTGTCATTTAAACCATATGCAGGTAGTCCACAACTTTTGCACAATTTGCTATTTTGCACATTTTTCAAAATTAAATTTTTTACAGACTTTTGTCCAATATTACAAAAAATATCAACTTCCATGCAGTGTCTTGCATCAAGCATGGGAGCTTGAGCTGCTTCACACACTGTCTTCTACAGTAGCAGATTTTTAAGAATCTTTGTGATGTCTCGAGGGTTTCAAAACATTAAATTTTGAAAAAAAGAAAAAAAAAATGCAGGAGTAAGTTCAAAATTGTGGAAATATATCTTCAAAGAATGCTTCAAGTTGACATGGCTTAATGATGAATAAAATGGCAAGACCTTTGGGATCTTGATTGACAATCAACATCGAAGCAATGTTCCTCTGAGTTTTTCACTTACTGAAGTTAGGGCTCTTAAATTGCACAAAGATTGGAAGACTAGATTAAAAAATGATTCTAAAATGGTGTTTCAAGCAAATAATATCTGGTTTGATAAATTTAAGATAAGATATTCTTTACATAATACTCAATTAACTGGTGAATTGTGTGATGCTGATAAAGATGCTGCAAAAAAATTACTGTAGATAGGGAATATTCTCTAAGCGAAATATTCAATGCAGATGAGAAGGGTTTATTTTGGAAAAAATGCCTAATCATGCATTCTTATAGAAGGAAGAATCAGTTGCTCCTGGACATAAACTTCCTAAGAACTGGTCGACATCGCTACATCCTCACAAACAGCAGAAATTTAGCTGGTGATTTAAAATTAAAGATAAGCTCATGTCTCATTTTGGCAGTTAAACAATATTATAAGGATAAAATTTACAATTTAAAGTATTAATTTTAGACAATGCTCCAGGATACAGAAAATCTCTGCAGAATTTATCTACTACCAGAACTACAAAGAAATCAATGTTGTGTTTCTCCTTTCCAATATTACCTGCCTCATGCAGCTGATAGGCTAAACAGTGATAGTGGAATTTAAATATCATATGAAGACAATAATGAATGCATCATCAAGGCAACTGGCAGGGAAAGGGAGTCCATTAAGAAATTTTTGGAAGGACTGTAATATATGGAACACAATAAACAATACTGAGACTTGTGGGTTGAAATAAAAGAGTCAACAATGAAAGGTTTCTGGAAACATTTATCCCCTCAAACGATGAACAATTTTATACATTCTGAAAAACTTTGGAAATTATCACAGGTGATTCAGTCTAATAAATTAATCTAACTTCTACATCAACAATGAAGATGTTAATGAGTTGATTGAATTTTACTCAGTATCTCTGATAAATGAATACTTAACTGAGCAACAAGAGTTAAATGAATATCATTAAAAGAATTAAATGAATACAAATAAGTGAAGAAGAAGAAGCTGATAAAATCATCAAGACATTGACAACCAAAAATATGAATGAAGTCTTTATGCATCTTGACAAATTTTCGACTATCATGAAAAAAATATCCCAATGGAGCTAATAAAGCTTAAGTACCTACGGCGACTAATAAAGACACGTTATAGAAATCTTCTTATATATATATATATATATATATATATATATATAAAGGCTGGTATTCAGTTATCTCTTCACAAGTTTATAAAGAAAATATCTGAAACCACTTATCATATTTTAATATACAATTTTTAATGTTTTTCTTATGCTTTTGAACATTCAGCATTCGCACTCATTTTTAGGAACCCATTACGGGTGAAAGTCGAGGGCCACTTGTATTATGAAAATTCAAATACAGTCAAAAGTCGTTAATCTGGACTCGTCGGGACTCCGGATTATAGATCATCAGTTTAAATCTCGTAAGATGGCATGCAGAAATTCTAAAATTAAAAATATGAAACCGTAATTTATGAAATAAAGAACAATTATGATCTAAAGGGTATCAAAAAAAAAAAAAAAAAAAGCTTAATATTTGTTTACTTTATTAAACATTTCTTTCAATGTAAGTTGTTTAAGTTGCTTTGTTTTATGTGATAATACTTTCTCTTTAATTCTATAAACAGACATAATTTCTTGTTCAGTTACAAAGTCCCGTTAATTGCTGTGCCGAGAATACCGACTAACTTGTCAATCGAAATTTTTTCGTTTTCACTAACCTCTCTGTCACATTCTTCATGTCTTTATCCATTTTTTGCAGCAATTCCACTTTTTGTTTGATGGACATCGAAACATACTTTCATTTTGTACGATCCTTTGGGAGCTCCAGAATTGGAAATTCTATTTGACATAATCGAAAGTTCAAGTTTACTTTTATAGTACTGCTCTTACAGTCTGCAAAAAATAATAAGCCGGATCCAATTTGAAGATTAAAGAACAACGCAATCATCAACATTAACTGAAATAGATAATTATATAATTTTAGCTTATACTGGCCATAATACATAAAACGCATACGCGAAAACGTATTCTGCACTTGCGCACACACATATGCGCAGTCGTAAAAGGTCTAACGTGCATGCGTAAACGCCTATGCGCATGTGTAAATGCGGCGCATGCGCAGAAAGTTTTTAGCTTTGAGGTCTGGATTATAGATCATTCCGGATTATGGGTGTCCGAATTAACGACTTTTGACTGTACATACATACACACAAAAGGTTTACATTACTAGAATCATTAATGATTTTTAATTTTATCACACATGCACATACTGATTAAATTTAATTACAATACGATACTACCTTGTATGCTCAGCATTTGACCAAGTTTTAAAGCAGCACCCCGCACTTTGCATAAAGTATCAACAATTCGATTAGCATTTGCTTCAGAAAGGAAAGGATTCTCTGATAAAAGAGAACCTACACTTGAAATCTTTTCAGTCTTAAATCCTAATCTTTTCCTTGCAGTTTCTGCTATAGCACCTATTCCCATACCAGCAGCAAGACCTATAAATATTAAGCAGATCTAACTAACTATGCAATTCCAAAAATTGAAAATATTTATGAACTGATACAATTTTATCATACAAAAACCTTTTAAATGCAGTTCATGAAGTAGTAATTGTTAATTTTTTAACTCAAACTGAAATTTTTATTTAATAATACAATCAAATGTTTACATATATATAAAGTACATATTTGAACAAAAGAAGGTTTACAAAAAGTTATAGATCCTTTCTTTTTAAAAACTAACACAGACAATAATTGTACATTAGAAGTGGGAAAAAAAATCACACAACAGAAATTTTATTTTGCTGAAAGAAAATTAAACAGGATTTAAGAGCGTAAAAGATTGTACTGTTGACACAGTAATAATGCATAACTATTGCAGGGACACAGGAACTATCATTCTAAGGGAGAAGAAAAAACACAGATTTTTTGCCTAATTGAAAATTCAAATCTGTAACAAATACTTCTAGTGACTGTTACATTTAGTCAACAGCATCTCTGAGTGAACTAATAAGTAAACTCTGCATCCTAAATAATTTATGACAGTAAAATAATAACAATAAAAAATGTAATAATACTCCAAAGTTTTTCTGATATAGATGTGAGAAATTAAAAAAAAAAAAAAAAGCACTGGTAAAGCAATATGAATAAGATTACCGATTCAACTTCTAAAGAAGAACTTATGGAAAAGAAAGAAAACTAAAAAGAATTACTGGTCTTAAGAATTCATATTTATAATTTATTTATTATTATTCCGCCTGCTTCACCCTTCAATGGGCACAACAGGTCAGTCATGTTATCTTGATAGTTGCTACAGCAACCTATTTTGGTTGTTTATCTTTTAACCTTATTAAAGATAAACAGATTTAACAATAGTTTAACAATAGTACAAATGGGTGCTCCAACTTACAATTTTTTGGGAATGTTAGTATAAAATTAGCAAAAAGGGTTAGTTAGCTTAGAGATATTTATATATTTACATGAGTTGAGGCTTGCTGCCTTTACATTTCGTCAGGTGCTTAGACCTGGTTATCTGCTATGATTATGTTTCTCTTAGAATAGACATACTCTATGATAGTTCTGATGCCCCGCTGTCCGTAGTAATCTTGAAGAAGGTCTTTGAAACTATGTGATCCCTGAAGCTGAGGAAGGGAGGCTCTAATGGGAGAAGTAAGTGGACAGTTGTGGATGTAACGTGAAATGTCTGCTGAAGAAGCTGAAGCCCCGCAGGCGTATTTTACGTTTTGATGGCAGAACCTGCTGAGGTACGCAGGAAATCTTCCATGATTTGTGAAAGCTTGTTGTAGATAGAAATCTGTTTTGAGCCTTATAAGCGAAACATATTTGAAACTTTAAACAAATATTAAAAAAAAAAAAAAAGAATTCTACATTTTCTTTGGTAAAAGGTTTATTGAAGAAAATTAGCTGTAAACGAGAGAAAATTTATATATATATATATATTACATACATTTTATAATATTTTGAGCAATATATTTAAGCAAAATATAATAATAATCAAAAAGTCATCTACGCAATCATTTATGGGAATTTTTTGGTAACACTATTTCATTACATAATTCTAAAATTTAACAATGCAACAGAGTTATCATACTTGCTATAAACAATGATAAAGCAGCTGTGGCAAAAATCAAAGATCATTGTAAATATAGATATAGAATTATTGTGGAAATACCTAGCTTATCAAAGACAAGCTTAGAAAAGACTTGTGTATTAAGAAATGTATTGCTAGGCAAAAATAAAGCATGGATAAAAAACATTAACTTAAGTAATTTAAATATATTACAATAAAATTCAAAATGGCATACTATTCACAACACAGTGTGAAACCAACAGTATTACCTCCATATGAAAGGAGACGACTGAAGCGTGATGAAGGTACTTTCCTTTCTCGAGCTCGTTCGCTTAACTGCAAGAGAGATCTTGAGTATAATTCAAATATAACAACTTTCTTGTTAATGAATCATAATTTTAGAAACCAACCACCTTTTATTCAAATAACTTGAAATATACAAATACTAGTTATGAAAACACATTACTACAATTAATCAAATCCATATTTACTTATTAAATTTAAAAATGTAGCCTTAAAGCAAAGAAATACATATATGTAACTTCAGCACAATGCTCAGTGGAGAAGTGAGCATAACTGGCACCCGGGGCAAAATACCTTTTCAGCGCCCCCCCCCCGTAAAAAACACAGTGACATGATGAAAATCTTGTTTGGGAACCATTTGCCCAACCTCTGCAAGCAGTGCCCGGGGCATCATACACCCCCTTGTCCCCTCTCACTATGCCACTGACAATGCTTTATCACTTATCTGGAATGATGGGGCCAAAACGAAGTCTGCATTATAAAGCATGCTTATGCTATTTTGAAAGTGAAGAGTTTCATAGTATTATAATATATTTAGCATGATAGAAAAATTGTTAATTAGTTGATCATTTAACAGAAACACAGCTTAGTTAACAGATGGACAGAGAGTTGTAATAACAAAGTGGCCATTAGAAGAAATAAATCAAAATAATATAAATTACACCTATTTAACAAAACCACTTTTTAAAAATGCCTACGTAATAAAGAATGTAAATTATATATAATTTATAAGAGATAATAAAAACTTTTTAAAGTAATTAACAATTAGCAACTTGGTATAGACAAGTTATTAGTTTAACATGTCTAGGATACGTCAAGAATTACTGTGCATTCAAAATTAGCATCATTTTGTTGCCGTCCCCCCCAAAAATAAATTAAAAAGAAGAATGAAAAAATTTATAAATCACATCTAGCTCTTCTTCGTGACTAGTCTAGTGTGTAGTATAGAACTATTGAATAATCTTTGTTTCTGATTTCAATATTTTTCATAACAGAAATAATTTCATTAGCTACGACTAGAATAACTTTCTTTTGAATGTTCTTGCTGTGGTGCTACGGTGTATACAGTCTTAAAAGTTTCGCAGCTCATTAGACATTTTTATTCAGTATCTTATTTGGCCATAAACTTAATTTATCCTGGAACATTGCCACTGGCTGGTTTTCTTAGCTTCTCTGAGCCCTTAAACAAAAATGCCATTCCATTAGAAACATAATGATAAAGAATAATTTCTCTAAGACTAACCTCCGTTTTTTTCTTCCTTCTCAATTTCATCTTGCTTTAATTAATTTCAAATATTTGGACTCTTAGAGATAAGTTTTTCCACTTGCATTTATGAGCTAAGTGGTTTAAGACAATTTACGACTAAAGAGAAGCTTAGAATCTTTCCAGTTTCTGTACGCATGTCTCACAAGAATCCACAAATGGAGCTGAATAATTACTCTACTTGCATATTATTACAACCACTTTAGTAGAAGTCGCTAAACTCTGGCAAACCATGCACATCAGTTCTGTTGATAACCATATCCATTGTAAGCTTCAATTTGAAAATTCACCAAATCACCTTTACTTCTGAAAAAAATCGCCAAACTGCGTCAAGGTGGTTACGCTAATACACAAGTACTCAATTTACAACAATAGCAACACACAGCATCTTTTATGTGTGGGTATGCAAGTCAATAAATGATTCTTCACCTTCTTACCATTTCGAAGCGAATTAAAGAAGTGATAACAGGAACACACTTTTTTTTGTAAAGTGACATACTTTTTTTGTTTGTGAGAAATCTGAAGTTCTCATCATAGATATCTATGATGAGAATCCGATCAAAAAATACTTTAACTAAATAAATTCTTAAAACATAATCTACAGTCTTTGTTCCCAGACTTTTGAAGTCAATTGTACATTTAGAAGAACTAATATTTTCTTTTGCTTCATATAGAGTTAGAAACTAATTAAAATAAAATTTTTACCACATACTGTATAAATCAGAAATTGCTTCGGCTATTTTAATTTTTTTTCCACTATACTTACATTATTACTTAAAATAACTTCGTACTGCTCATTTTCAAAGATGATCATCTATGGTGAAGGGTCAATGAAAGAGGGTTTACTGTATTTTGCATTATTTTTTTTTTAAAAAAAAGGAAAAGAAAAAAAAAAAAAAATTCTACACAGAAGAATACCAGGACTTTAATTTAATTTTAAATAATAATTCAAAAATAATTTTAAATAATGATTTAACAAGGCAAACAAATGCCTATGTACATCATGAAATTTAAATGCTTTAGGAGAATGAAGAAAATGCAAATTGTCCACCCCAAAATTAAGCACAAATTTTTACTATAACTTCAGATCACCAGTAAAACCGCTAAACATGGTAGCTTAACCTGGATTTGAATCCTGGCTAGTTAGCTGAATTAGCAAGCAGCCGAGTAGTAAAACTGCTGAACCATACTAGCACAACTAAGAACAATACTAGCACAAAAAATGCCAACTAATGGACTCACTGCAAGGGAGTTCCCTTGGTTTTAACAATATATAACATGAACTTAAGCCAGTTTTTCTTAACCAAATCCACCAAAGGCATCTCTCTTCATAGACAGATAGCACTCGCACACATTGTTATAATCTAAGTAATCTAAATCAATTCTCAGGTCTAACATAAATACAAATCTTTGTCAGATAGCTATCATGAGATTTATTGTATTCAAACAAAACATCAGCAACTGAACCACAAATATAGCAGTATAAAATTTTGCTTCAGTATAGCATTGTGATTAAACTACAGCTGAACTGAAACTTTAATGTATGAAAGATTTCAGAAATTTACAGGAGTTCTATTTCAAAGGGAAATTCTGTCTACCTTTATTAATAGTTATGTATGATGGGGCTCCTCTGTAGTTGTGTATGTTGCCACGCTCATATACCAGCTAGTGTGTGCATTCAATGCACAGAAAAAAAGAAAAAAAAAAAATTACTTTCATTTCAAAACAGTAGAAAAAAATTGAAACTACATACAGTAGATGAGATTATATTATTCATATCACATTCAGTTAAGCAGACTGCAGGTCTTCTAAGATATCAGAACATACTGCTTAAGTGCATTCATAAGTTTCTTCCCCCTCCCCAAGTTTTGTGCATGAAAATATACTAAACCATCTAAAGTCTTATGTGCATATGCATTTCGAAAGGAAAATCTCTCCCCCCCCCAAAAAAAAAATTCTGCATAAAAAAAAAATCTGTGTACTCTTATGTAAATAAAATATTTAAATTTGCAGGAAATGTTTTATATTGCTTTCCAAAATGCTTCCCTATTATAATGCCGTTCTTCATACCATGGTTTGTAATATTATACTGGATTCGCTTAAAACTATAAACTGCTGTTGGTAAATTAGGTCATACGTAAAAAAATTCCACTTTATAAATTAAAGTGTTATTCAAACTTTAAATAAAACTAGTATGGAAAAAAAAAAAAAACTTCAATAAAAATTCACAAATGCAGTCAAATGATAAATGAAATTCTCTAAATACTCATGAAAGTTATTCTGGCTAAGTGTTTCTAATAACATATTTGTACAGAATTAAATTCTTAGATAATCTTATAGAACCTTCATCGCATGAGGTTAGTTATTGGGAGGTCTTGCATTTGGTTCTGAGTTAGTTCCTTGTACATTTTTTGGGGCAAATCAAAATTAGTTTTAATTTTTGTGATTCCTCCTTTCAAGATTCCTTTCATACCCACAAATTTAATATTCACAGAGCATAATATTTTTTAATCTATTAATTTTCTAGAAGCTAAGATATGGGGAAAAAATTACGCTATTAGACACAGAATTATGCTCAAAATTTAAATCTAAGACACATCTGAAAACTGAATCATATAAATACTTCAGTACATTATTTCTTCATTGGTTGTTAATTTATGATACTTTAATTAACATTTCTCCTTATTTTCTTAACACAGAAAAGTGTCTTCCTTGACCCATTCTCAACATAGCTATGATTAGATGCATAAATACATAAAAATATCTCTAATAACAATATGAAAAAAATCTTCCAACTCGTGCCCATAACATATGAAAAACTTTTAGGTAAAATTCTTGTAGGCTAAAAAATGTTTGTAAAATTCTAAATCTATTCTAATAATATCCAGATATAAAATCATTCAATTTTCTAGAAACAACTTATTGAATCATTTCATTTTTTTCAAGAAAACATGAATTGTTTATATAAAATATTTGATTGCCTTTTGACTTTAATTTTTCTTTGATGAGAAAATGAATGTCTGCGTATTTTGGATTCCACGGGAAACATACTGGAAATATTAGTAAAACTGTCAAAATTTGCCACATTTGGCGACCTTTGGTGATTTCTCGCCAAATGTGGCGGCAGAAATTCCAAAGCCGTTGCCAGCTTGACTATATCTTGCAAAATTACCGAGATACCCATTTACTCTGTTAAATACAGAGTATGTATTAAATACTCTAATAAACAGTTGAAGAGAGTTGAATACAGGCCCTGTATTCTTACTTTTCCGGCATAGCTTGTCTCTTTAGACTTTTTTTCATGTTATATTACACAGAAAAATAAAACAATTTCACATATAACTAGACTTAAGTCATATACCTATGTACAAAGTTCATAACATTATATATTATATTAAAAAGTAACAAAATATTCTGCCAACTGAGGGAAAAAAAAAAGTCCCATAAAACAGGAAACTATGAAGTGCAGAAATAAGATACTCAATACAAGGAAAGAGAGAAGAAAAGATTTACAAATCTTCTAAATTTTATTCGTATTAAACTATTATCATTTATTCCGTATTAAGCTATGTTAATAATATGTGTATTTTATTCCATATTAATCTATGTAAATAATACATAATATGTTAATAATATGTGTATTCTATTCCATATTAAGCTATGTAAACAAGTTAATTGTCTAACCACTAAGCTTTGAAACCAAAACTTCATATGCGATCAACAATGCCCAGCAGAAATTAGTAATCCTTATCCAAAGCTATTTTATTCA